CTGAAGCTTTCTTACTTTAGAGCAAGCTGAACATCAGCTATGGCCATAGTTACTTTTGACATAAAATGCATGAGCAGCATGAAGGTGCTTGATATCTCTGGATCCATTTTTAATGTTATTTTTCATAAGAGACAGGCTGATTATTTTTAGTTGGAGATTTTAAGAGATTCTCAACTCATTACATTTTAGACGTGTGGGATAAGCCGCTGTCACAGGTAGAGCATTGTGAGGAAGTCAGAAGCCATAGCCCCTGCAGCTTTGAAGAACCTGCCGGCTCAAAGGGAGGACTCAGCCCATTGCGTAACACTCGCCGGCAGGAAAATACAAGCACTGTCCCTATCACTTGTTTTCATTTGATTTAGTTACTTGGCAAAGGCTGGGTGTCCTGGAGTGGAGGAATGAACACAAGCAAGTCCCGAGTGGAGGACGATGCCCCCAGGGGCTCCACTGGCCACAGTGTGGGACCAGACACGGAGCTAGTTTTAAGAGAATGCGTCAGAAACATTGTATGAGACTTGGTTGTTGTGGGTTGTTTTTTCTTTTTTTACTTCTAAAAGGAAATGCTTTTCTTTCTCCTCACTCAATACTTTGTGCTTCTTGTGGTTGATGCCCTGTGCTCTAAAGGATCGCAGCTACTAGGAGGGATCACTTCATAACAAAATGACTTCCCTTCATGTTCTGGGATATTTCAGTTTGGCAGTAGAGCTCACAGGGTTTGAAATAAAAAAATGGCATTGGTTCCTTCAGAGAAAAATAATCCAAACCTACCACAATACAAGCCAAACAGACCGGAATTGTTCCTTTTCCCACGAGGGGCTTGCCCTTCTAATGGTGTGGGTAATTTTGATAGGACCTTCTTTCTGAGGGGGTTAGCTACTGAGAACTGCCTCTTCTCCCGGTGAAAACCCATTGTTAATTTCATTACAGCAGGCCTCAAAGCATATTTGAAAATAGAAGTACTTTGGTAACTCTCCATTCTCCTGCCCCGCCTGCCTCTCAGTGAGGAGACTCCCGTTTTCTCACAGGACCCCTCCAGTTGCAGTGTCTAATCTGAACCTTGCTTTATTGTCACAGTGGTAAATTAGGAAAGACTTTAGTTTCATAGTGTTTATTGAGCTATGCGTGTTGTAAAAAGTAAATGATAACCAGGGGTTGGGTTCAGTTTTCTCTCATATTCCATCAAGTCCAGTTCTATAAATTTTACAATGTCAGACTTTTTCTATTGATTGTTAGGCCAGTGTTCGTCAGAATAAAAGTGCAGGACCATGCCTTTTCACAAATCTTGTTTTCTGTTAGCACTTCCATTTCTTAGAGACTTGGAAAACATTGCCTTATAATACTTGCAGTTTTTTCCTCCATGCATAAAGATTTTCAAATCAAACCATGCTTTTTTCTTCCTTGTCTCATACCTCCCTTGTGTCTTATAGCCCGTGATTTGGCAAAGTTGTGCAGGAGGGCTCCTGAGCCCCCAGTCACATGAGAATTAAGGCAAGAAAAGAAAGGACCAGATGGCATCAAAAGATAGGCCTTTTTAGGTCGTTGGTGGTTAAGCTCACAATCTGGTTACCAGCGGGGAGACTGGGGGAAAGGGTAGAGAGCAAACAGCACCATTGTGAGGGAAGAGAATTCTGCTGTACAGTTTGTTTTAATAATTTGCTGGAAAGACACACACATTGAGAATGAACTTTCCGAGTTAACTTTCCACTGTGCATTGACAGGATCTAGGCCATTGCCCTTGGAAGGTTGCTTTTACGGGCGGCAGATAAGAACATGCGGAGGGCTGTGTAGCATTTGGGTGGCACCTTTGAGGTGTATCTCCTTGGTCAGCCTGCTGTCCATGAACCCTACTCTCCAAACAAATGGCTCACATACAAGTATAAAACTAGAGGCCTTACCATTTAGTTCCTGCAGATAGATCTGTCCCAACGGGACAGCAGAGGACATCATACAGTTACCCTTTTTGAAGACTTTATTTATAAAACATGGGAAGCGGCAGTGCTGGCCTTTGTGAGACATGCCCTCTCAGGGTGTCTTCTTGGTGTGAGCTGTGTCTTTGGACATATTTGTAATTGCCTGATTAAAAAGTTTACTACAAAAAAAAATTTACTACTGATGAGTAAAAACTATTCTAGAGGGTCACCTGCCTTTCCCTCTTCCTCTGGGCATTACTTAACCTGAATCCTTGGCCCAGGCAGCTCCCAACTTGACAGGGCCCTCATAGACTACCAGACCTCTGAACTGGTATTTCCTTAAAGAATTCCAACTCAGTTGTTTTCCCTTGAACAAAAAACTTCAGGTATTCTTCATTTTAGGGTTAAGCTTAGTTCCCAATACATGAATTTGAATCCTTGACTCTTCTTTCAATTACCTTGAAAATCCTTGTTTTTTTCATAAACAAATTTAATAATCCTCCAACCCAAAGTCAAGTTTCAACGTCTTTTATAAGTCTGCCTCCTCCAGTTACAGTCTTTCCTTTTATTCAGAGTCTTGTTCTTGATATCTGTATGACTGGATTTCACTAGGAATCAAATGAAACATTTTGTTTGTCTAGATTATAAACTCTTGAAGTTTACATTTTTTTTTTAACTTTTGTCACTCAGGCAAGTATCTGGAACATGACCAAGTACATGAGTCACTAATAAACATACTGTTGAATGATTTTTAAAAAGAGAGTAAAGAGACATTTCAATACCGTTAGTTGATTTCTGCTTAGGTTTTCATGTGACTTAAACATAATTCACAGGACAGAAAATTGACCCACCTGTTTTTTCTTTGATGTGAAACTACATTAAGGATTCATTCAGAGGCTTAAACTAGAAGTTATTTCCTATACGTACACTAAAGAAAACAGGCAAGTTGTTTTTGTGGTGCCATACTTGTCAACTTTGTTGCTTTGTTAACTTTTTTAGATGACTGAACTCAGTCATCCAACCTCTCACGATTAGCAAGAGAGCGCCAAGCTCATTGTCCACCTTCAGTCCTGAGTGAGTGCAGTTGTCAGGCATATGCTGTAACAGTTTTGAGGCAGATTTTAAGGCACTCTTTACTATGGATGTTTGTTGTTACTAGTTTGCTCGCCAAGAGCACCCTGTGATTATGTGAGACTGCTCACCTAGAAGTTTTCCAGTTGAAAATGAAAATTATACTGATGGTTCTGTAATTCTGGTTAGCACAGCAGGGAGTGAGAGTAGCACTAAAATTGTTAAATCTCATTAAGGGGAATACATTCATAAATCTTTAGAGAAAAACTGTCTTAAAAGAGTCCTTTCTCCATATCAGGTATAGTAGGTTTCAGCCTGGTTGCCAATTATTAGAATTGAGTTGTTGAATTCAGTGGAGATTTGGAGTAAACATATTAATGGACTTGGTAGTTATGTCCATTAAATGGACCTAGTAGGCTGGACTAGTTGGTACTGGAAGAATCTTAAAAATTCATCAGCCAGGCCCTCCCTGGTGGCGCAGCGCGTTAAAGCACAGCACTGAGAATCTAAAGCCGCTTCTGCATGAGTTCAATTCCCACCTGCCCCGGAGGTGACCACATGGCGTGGCAGACCTCTCCTGACCCGCCCGCTGCTCCCCTCAGCAGTGTACTTTGTCGATCTGCCTGTTCTGTTCCCCACTCTGTCTCTGGTGAAGCCTCTCATCGCCCCTGAGCCTCTGGCCTGTACCCCAGTTCTGTACGCACAAATAAATAAATCTTTAAAAAAAAAATTCATCAGCCAAATCTCTGACCTCACTATCCTTAATCATGCTTCCTTGTTGGTGATATAACTGACTACTTATCAGCTACTACTACTTGTTAAAGTTGTCAGCACTTGAAATTTTCATTTGATGTTATTTCTCTATGCGTGAATTAGTTTGGTGGGTGAGCTAGTAAAGTCACTTTGGTCCTCTAAGGAAAAATTGGAGGAATTGTTTTCTTCCTGGTAGAGTTGAAACACTTCCTAATTGTTCAGTTATAGCTTTCTTTAAGTAGTAGGAGTCAACTATGAACACATTTTAAGAAGTTTTTTTCAGATATACTATTAAGTGTTGAATTATGAAGCACAGACCCAAAGATGTGGACTAGTATTATTGTAGGATGAAAAGAAGGGCCCAGAATGCTCACCAAATGAATATATATAGATGGCAAGGGAGGTAAATCCATGAGGCTCTCTGCTAGCTATTTCCCTTGACTTAGCCACTAGATGGGTGGACCAGCAACTACAGTGACTGAGTAAGGAGTTATGTCACGTGGCGTTTTTTCCAGTGTGTGGAAAATTAGAGGTGGGTAATTAGAGCACAGAGAGAGGGAGAAATAAAAATGAAAAGCTAATGGATTGGTATATCTAGTATAAGGAAGCAGGGGCTGTTGGTAGGCTGTTGTTTCAATGACTAAGATTGACCAGAGGGCATGTATTTTGTCTAAGTCTGTCCTGTTTGGTCACAGAATTTTGCTGTTTCTCTTGTGTTGAATCTTGTAAAGATGCCATTTTTATAAGTGAGCAGTGATCTATTATCAGGCATTGCACATGGTTCACCCTAATATATAATAATGTGTGATACTATAGGACCACTACTGCTAGAGAGAGAGTGTGTATGTGTGTGTGTTGAAAGACAGGAAGTGGAAATATGTGAACATTTTATAGCTCCTTGGACACCCCAGCTGAAAATCCCTGCACAGGGCCTACAGCTTTAGGTATTCGGCATCAAGCACAATAACCCTAGTATGCTTTTCTACCTCCGCATTAGTGCAGTGGAACAGTTTGTAGGGCAGGTTAAAAATGATCATCCCTGATGGAGATTACAGTGAGCACAATAATCTGAAGTGGCGGTCTGTAGTTCCTGTCTGGAGACTGAACATCAGCAGGCATGCCTGCACTTGCAGATAATTTAAAACCAAAGAATTAGGAGTGTAACATGGTTATAGATAGAATAATGTGCAAATTACTATTTGTCTTTAAATAGACTGTAGGATGATTTTTTTGTCAAATATTCAGACTGTGCTGATTTTGTTTTAGACGAGCTCACCTGCGCCTGTGTTTAGAACGCTTAAAAGTTCTGATTCCACTAGGACCAGACTGCACGAGGCACACAACACTTGGTTTGCTCAACAAAGCCAAAGCACACATCAAGGTAGGAATCTTTACTTTCGTATTTGCATGTGATTCTCACAGTTCTGGGTTAATGATGATGATTCCTATTCACATAGGTCAGCTAGCTCACCAAACCCTCCTTAGCTGACCTCAAGCAGTCTTTCTAAAACACTTACGAGCTAATCTGATGGGAACAACATAACCTAATTAAACTAAATTGATTGACAGCATAGCCATTTGAAGAACTAAAGATACTAGGAAAATAACAGTTCTTTGCTGGAAAGAAGAAGGCTGTTGTGCCCTCTGGTGGAGATGAGTTCACCTGGTGTGCCCCTCAGTATTTTTCCATTGCCTCCACTGCAGAGCGAGTTTCTCTTTTGTGGAGATAACTTTACAGACTTGGAGAATTCTAACCTTTCCCAGTCATGTAGCATTCATTACACACAAAAGTGACAGCAGTAATTTTTGCTGTTTAAAAGTCTGTATTTACATATGTTTCTAGATAAACATATACATGCTTGTTTTGTGTATATTCATGTTTTCTCAAAGAAGTCTTAGAGATGGTAGGTAGAATTCATTTTTATTGTTTGCATTGGACTCTATGCAAACTTAAATATTATTTTATCATTTTAGAAACTTGAAGAAGCTGAAAGGAAGAGCCAACACCAGCTAGAAAACTTGGAAAGAGAACAAAGATTTTTAAAGCGGCGACTAGAACAGCTGCAGGGTCCTCAGGAGATGGAGCGAATACGAATGGACAGCATCGGATCAACTATTTCTTCAGATCGTTCTGATTCAGAGCGAGGTAGGCAGTGTTCTTCTTCTCTAATGAAAAACTAAGCATCACTATCCTGGATTTAGGGAGGGTAGGTGAGGAGGCACTGTGTATGCATTCTTCTTAGAGAACACTGTTAGCAGTCATATTTGTATGCTATCGCAGCATTGTCTAGCAATGTTTATATGAAGTACGGAACACTTTTCTGGAATGTATGCATATGCTTTTAACTGTATCTTGAAACAGCTTTATATTTGTAAAAAGTTTAAAGTTCCCTGTAGAAAATTAGTTTTCAGATAGCTTTTACCAGATTCCCAATAATATTAACATCTTAAGTAACCACAATATAGTTATGAAAAGCAGGAATTTTCATAGTTTTATTACATCATCCATATTATTCTGTGTCACCAGTTCTCCAACCAATGCCATTTGCCTGATCTAGGATTCAGTGCAGGACCCCACACTGCATTCAGGGACTTCTCAGTCTATTTTTTGTAACCAAGACACTTGAAGAATACTGGCTGGTTATTTATTAATTTCCCTCCATTTGAGTTTGTCTAATGTTTTCTTATGTTAAGATTGAGGTTATACATTTGGGGGAAAAGTATCACAGAAGTGAAATTGTCCCCTTTTTAAATTCATTATACTAGGGAAATACATGATGTTGATATGTTTTATTGAACTACCAATCCTTACCAGTATTAACTAAGTTTAAAAAAATATATAAATTAATATAGAATTTACACACTTTTCATTTCTCTCTCAATTCATCTTCAGCAAAATTAAAAGCCCACCAAAAAGACATTGAGTTTTACCGATCAGTTCATCTGTAGCTCCCACCAGGTTAGGCTTCTCCACAATAAAAGGTCCCAGAGGTGAACTCCAGTAATTTTAAGTTTTACATTTTGGAAAATAGAGTGCATCCACTTCAGAATTCTCAAATAAAAATAAAAACAAGAATTTTTTTGTAAAATTTCTTGATTATGGAAATTTTCAAAAATATGATAATGAACTCTTGCATCACAATTAGCCAGTTTGAACATCTGTCAGCATTCTGTCATTCTTGTTTGAACTATCCTGCACCACTCACCTTCACCATTTTCTGAAGTATTTTTAATCTACCCAAATAATGCTGACAGTTTGCCCTAGTACTTCAGTGGGCACTCCTTTTTGTATCTTTAATAAATGGATATTAAAAAACATAATCATGGCGCTATAATGATCTCCCACAAAACTAGTAAACTTAGATAATTTTATGTCATTTAATACCCAGTCTCTGATTTTCTAGGTTTCTCAAAAATGGCAGTTTACCATTGTATGTATGAATAAGAATCTAGGCAAAGTCTACTTTGCATTTCTTTCATATATACTTTAAAAAATACTTTTATCTGTTGTAGTTTCCCTCCCATGCTCCCCCCACCCCACCCCACCCCGCCCCAAGCTATTTACTCACTATAGGAATTGGGAAAGTGGGGTCACTTAGAGAAATTCCCACATTCTTGGTTTGACTAAGCAATGCCCATGGCTAACATTTAACATGTTCTTCTGCCCCTCCTAATTCCTGTATGTGATGGGTACATCTGTTGGATTCAGCTTAGACTCTTCTTTTATTAAACACAAACACACCACATATGTGTACTTCTTTGTACTTCCTGTTGCACCAGTATCATGTCTAGTTGTCCCACTCTGGTGATAAGATTGGTCAGTGGGCTCTTCTGGTATCCTTTTGATAAATTTTGGTAAATGTACCAACTTTTCACTTATGTTTTTGGAATCACTGGTGATGGTTGTCCTGATCATCATTACTACATTTTTACCGCCACAAAATAGTGAATTTTTAAAAATTGTCATTCTTCTTGCATTTGTCAAGTTTTTCTTTTATATAAAGAACAACATTTCATCAACTTTTTTGGCTACCCAGAAATAAAGTCCAGAAAGGGAAGGTAAATGCTTATTGTGTGCTTTGTCAACTTCCTGAATAATGACTTTGGTGCCTCAGCAACCTCCAAGGTTTATTTTGTTTCGCTGTTTATGAACTCACAAATGTTTTCATGTGTTGACTGCACTATAGTTATTCTAATTGTGTCAATGCCCAAATTTCCCACATTGGTTCTGTTGAAGTGTTTCACATTGGTCTTTAATCCCTTTCAACATAACCGTAGTTCTTACACTAGTTTCACTAGTAAAATTTTATTTTTATGTGGTTTTGAAAAACAATGGTCTGCCAGACAACAAGAACCTCAAGGATATGCCACATTTATGAGTGACAGTGAGGTGTTGCAGAAGGCAGACTTCCGCCCTGGTCTTCCTATACTGCTCACTAGGGTGTGACCTGGTAGGTCTCTAGGTTTTAACTGCCCTCCCTCCATCATTCAGTGCTCAGGTGTTTGGTACTCCCAGTGTGTTAAGAGCACCCAGGTGTCAGTACCTTTTGAGTACCAGTCTTGTGTTTGGCCTTCTTTCTCAGTGTTGCAGGGGTCTTTAGTGACATCTCCAATTGGCTCAGCTACAGCAGCCTCACTTTGTTTTGACTGTGTCGGGCCAGCTTTGTTTGATTGGGCATCTTGATTTTGTTACCCAGCTGTAGACTGGCTGCTGCTCCGAGATACTGGGAAACACTAGAGAGCCTGTGAAGCATTCATTATAGATACGAAGCAAATAGTTATGAAATGACAGTATTATTTGTACAGCTTGCTTGGGTAGCTGCCTGCATGTTAAAAACAGGTCACTAAAACTTTTGAAGCTGTTAGCCTGTTAGCTGTTTTAAAAATGGCTCTTTTGAAATAATTTTGTCCTTCTTGGGCTCAGCAAGAATTTACTTTTTCTAAAGCAGTTGTGATCATTGTGAACATCCTCAAGTCAGCAGCAAATATAAAACACCAGACTTTGAGTTTACTTTAAGAGAACTAACATCTCAAAGTAATTTCAGTTCTTATCGGGGGGAGGACAATTTTTCAACTGCCTTGTATTTTTTTAAATATTACTTTTTATGTATTATTGATTATGCAATATTTCACGAAATACCAATATTTGGGTCATATATGGAATTAGGGTGGGTTTCTTTTAAAATCGTATTTCTTTTTTGAAGCTAAATACCACCACCGAAATGCTTTTATTGAATCTTAACTATAGATTTAGCTTTAACCCATAGACTTTTAAGCCTCAGGCCCTCATTTCCAGCTAGATTTGATGTAAAAAAAATTTCAATGAGTTGAAGACAAACTCTTCGGGGTCCACTTTACAATGACTTATTTTGGCTGCTCAGCAGTCAGAAATCGAAATCTTTATGATGAATCCTAGAAGTGTATAGAACTATCTGTAAAATACCACCCATACCACCAAAGGCCTGGATGAATAAAGTCTCTAATTGTCTATATTAAGTATATACTTTTTTTTCCCCTTTAAGGCAAGTCTGATTAATAAATAGCATTGAGAATTAGTTTCTAGTTTAATGCAAAACAGATGTTGTTAAACCACTTGGGTTTGGGATCTTTTAATATTGAGCACTAATTCCTAACCAGGCTGAGTACATTTGGTGGGAGGTCCAGACGGACTGGCGTCAAAGGCTTTAGCAAACTTACTGCCTAAATTGAGACACCACTCTATACCAGACGTTCCCTTTTGTAAAACATCTCTCCATCTCTTTACCTTCATGAAGTTATATTCCCCAGTGATGGTAATTCTGTATAACTGTCATTTAATACTATACAAAAAGTAATCACTTTTCCTTATACTCTTGTTGCATTTTGAAAGTATACGAATGCTAGGTTGCTAACATTCCTTTTTTTCCTTTGACAGAGGAGATTGAAGTGGATGTTGAAAGCACAGAGTTCTCCCATGGAGAAGTGGACAATATCAGTACCACCAGCATCAGTGACATTGATGACCACAGCAGCCTGCAGAGTATTGGGAGTGACGAGGGTTACTCCAGTGCCAGTGTCAAACTTTCATTCACTTCCTAGAACCCAGCATGACATAACAGTGCAGGGCAAAATGTTCACTGGGCCAATTCAATCCAAACAATCTCTTAAATTGGGTTCATGATGCAGTCTCCTCTTTAAAACTAAACACAACAAACCTATACTTGAACAAAAGGGTCAAAGACCTCTATTTAAAAGCAAATACTTGGGAAAAAGTGTGGCAGAGCCTCTCTAATAGAACAAATATTCATATTTGAAAATAATAATTTCTGATGGTAGCAGAGAACTTGTGTGAAATCTTGATTTTAGTTGATCTGAAAGATGACATTGGAGATCTCATCCTCTTTTTCTAGTTTGCTCATACTACACTGAGTAGACACATTTAAGGGTGGGATTATGAACCCTTCCTGAGTTTTATGGTCCTAAAAACAAAACAAAATCAAACCTTATAGTAATGATAATCAGGCATTAATCTTAGATAACTAAAGAGCTATTAAAATTCAGCCTGGACAGCTTATCATGAAGCCTGTGGATGATCAGTTCCTTAAAAAAATCATTTCATGCTCTGCAAAGGAGAGACTCCATGAAGCCTTTTGAAAGGGCTCATCATGCGGCTCAGCTTTCTTTTGGACTCCTGCTAAGCAAGCTGACCTCACCTGCATTGTTAGCATTAGGGCACCTGACTGCTAGCTTAACGGTCAGCTGCCTTTAGGCCCATGGGCAGTTTGGGGGCGTCCATGCTTAACAAACAGCCTCTGTCACACAGGGCCTGAGTATGGATTGAGGGGCCAGAAAGAAAAAGCCCCACATGCCTCTGTCTGAGTGGGCAGAAGTTATGCACACAGATTGGCAGGCCAAGGTCTGAGCCATGGCAGCATTTTTATTTCAGATTTTGATAACTGTTTGTATGTGTTGAAAACCAAAATGACATCTTTTTAAAATAAGCTTGTCCATAAAAAAACATAGATGTCTTTTATAGTGGAAAAACACATGGGGAAAAAAATCATCTATTTTGATGCAGCATTTGATAATGATAAAACACCTCACACCTCACTCTTTATAGTGCACAAAATGAATGAGGTCTGGGCTAGGTAGAAAAGGTCAATGCTGTTTTTGTTTTCTTTTAGAATCATTACCTTTTACCAGCTTTTAACCATCTGATATTTATAGTAGACACTATTATAGTTAACATAGTTAATTAAGTTCAGCACTTGTCTCATTTTAATGTAAAGATTTGCTTCCGTTTTCCTACAGTCTCTCCTTCCTCACAGTCCCGCTGTGCAGGTGCTATTGTTGCTCTTACCAATATTTTCAGAAATGTTATTTTAAGTGGAATTTCTAGCCTGCACTTTGATGTCATGTGTTCCCTGTCTTTCATACTCCATGGTTCCCCCAGGCTGTCTCCCTTACCCCAGGAAGCCTTCTTGGAGACCTTACCCCTGGCTGTTTGGACTTTGTATACTTTAAATAATTTAACTACCCTTAATTACTTAAAAAAAAAAAAAAAGCTTTATGATTTTCATAACTTATTGCTGATTTTAATGGGTTGTTAATTTCAGTCCTGTAGTTTTATTTTGTTTAGATAGGGCTGGGCAAGGAAAAAGAAAATAAAGACAACCATATTTAGCAGTGCAGTTGTGTGTGTAATGTTAGACTATCCTTGTAAGTAGCACTTTAACAGCTCCCACTGCTTCTGTATATGAAGTCTACCATCTTGGTCATACACAGGCCTCCGCATATACTTCCTTGTTCTTGTGCTCTTTCTGTGCCTCCAAAAATATTTTATACTTGATTGTGCTATGTTTGAGTGGAAGAACTTCTTTGAAGTAGATGTGTGTGGAAAATGCATGCTTTTAGAAGCCCATTATTAGAACTTGCTACTTCAGGTGCTGGGGACTTAAATGAAAAACATAAAACACCTTTTTTTCTGTGGCCCAGATAAATTATTTGTGTTTCCATTTATTACTCTTGGCCTGGTCAAAATGTTGCTCTATACATTTGCTTACTTTACCCTGGAAAGTAAACAGAAGCCAGTGCCTGCCTATGCTTCCATTTTGTTGTGTTCCATGGCATTCATTTGCATCACTTACCTAGGGCTGGACTTTGGGTCTTCATTCGGGTGAATGTGAGGTGCTGCCATTTTGCGTAAATATATACATGATGGTGGGCTGGGAAGTCTTTGTCACAAACCTATCATAATATTTCAACTGCCCCCTAAATTACTCCTTCCCTGGGTTTGTTTTCCTTGGGGGAAGGGGATGGAATGTATGATGAGTAAGAAGTATTAATTTTTAAAAAAGACAAATCGACTTTGAAGACATAATTGCAAGAAATAAAAATTGTGAATGAAGAATGCCCGAGTGCTTTTTGTACCACCCACCCTTCTCAATGAAGGAATAGGAATTTGTGTAACACCTTGAAAGGCAACTATTTCCTAAATGTCTGTGACTGCACCAGTAGTCCAGAATTAATGGTAATTTAAATCATTGTTGTTTCCTGTTCTATGAAATTTAATAGGTCTTGACTAACTACACATTGTTTAAGAATTTCAACTGCTTCAGGTAGTACACAAAATCTACTCGAACTTTTTAAAATATCCCTTTCAAGATACCTCTATACTGTTATCCAAATTGAAAACAAGGTTAGTTTCAATTTAGTTCTCATTAACCTGTTAATTTACAGTCTGCAAAATGCCCAAGTGATAAAGTAATAGGCATAAGTTAAGTTTGATTTCAGTGCATTACCAAAGATTCTGATGAAGTCATTGTGACTCTAATGTCTGACTGGAATAGAGCTCTGGTACAGAAGCCTTTTCTAGTCCACATTACAGTAATAACATTTGCTATTAAGAGGGGATTTGAAAAGGCAGTGATGAGGTTTATTGAAGTGGAGATCCCAACTTAAGTCTCCATGGTCTCCTTGCTCTATTTCTCATGAGAAATCTGGGTATCATCTTGGGGAAGGATTGTTTGTTCCACTTAAAGTAGCAGCTGCCTTTAAGCCCTTTTATTTACCATCCCACCTAAAAAAAAATCCCAGACTCCCTCCTAACATTTGTTAAGGATCCTGACCAAGTTTCCATCTTTAAAAGTTGTTGTACTACCTCCATCTTGAAAGAAGGAAGGCTTAAAACTGATAATATGTAAATAACTGCTCTCTCCCCCCCCCCACTTCCCCCCACCCCATCTTAGACCTAGGAGCCTGTGGCAAAGGAAAGGAAATTTAGAGGTATGTACTTCTACACTCCTTTCAATGAATGCAACCTAATCTCTTCATCTTTAATCATGAATTTTATTCTGACTGGGTCTTGCATAAAAAGAACTATTCCTATTGAAAAAAATTGGTTCGTATTCCCAAATTTATGACAGGTTATACAATATAAGAAGTCAATTTTGATGTTCTATAGAACTTTTTAAATAAAGGCTTTTGAAGATTGGTATATCAATGGTATTAGTGATTACCTGGCCTTCCTAAAAAAAAGAAAAAAACCCTGAACTTGAGTTATACAGATAGTAATCATTGCACTGCATTAATTAAGCATCCTAGTTAATATTGTGTTGGCCTTGCCAAGAAAAAAATGTTGGCCTGTATACCAAATCTAACAGGAAAGTATAGTCTTTGTGAGATACATCGGATTCTTTTAAATGATCAGTGTAGTAGATTATTTTACCTGCCTACAGTTAATGTATTAAGGAAGTGGCTTAAATGAAACCAAATATTACCAACCAATTTATCTTTAATTTTGTCATTACTGCCACCCCCCACCCCTGCATTTTATCAAGCTCTTAGTTGTTTGATATGGTGGAATGCATACTTTTTATTGGTAATAAAGGCAATAATTAAGGTATTTTAAGATTTTCACATCAGAGCACAGGTCACTAAAAACATGTCGTGAAATCTCCAAAATGTATATGAAGAGCCCCAAGTTTAAAAGGTAATTTGTTTCTAAATTAGCAGCTTCATCAGTTTCAAAGCTAGGTCAACTAAACCTGACAGCACTGTCACAAAGGAAAATTGGGCAAAAGAATCAAAGGGATACTTACTCCTCCTTTTCTGAGCAATGAACAATTTGTACAATTACCATCTATTTAACACTAGCCTAGCTTGCAGATCTCAGGCTTCAACTCTAGTTTTCCCAGGATATAGTCAAGTTTTCCTCCATGCCTGATTCTTTCTCTGGCCAGAAATTCACTGCATCTTGCTAGAGTGAATACAGGGCTTGAAAGGGGAAAAAGACAAAAAGCACATCAGTTTCACCGAGAAAGGGAAATCATGAGTGAGCAAAATAATACCCATGATTTTTCTCAAGCTGAAAAAGTATCTTTTCTCTTAATGAGTGGGTATAACCATGGTTTCCTCATTTAAAAAAAAAAAAAAAAGCAAATATAACTGGAGGAAATAAATTACAATTTTAGTAATTCCAGTTAGTAAATCTGAACTGTTTTGTAAAAGTAAACTGGTGAGAGGTGTTTGTTGGAAGTGAATTGCCTGTTTTTATTTCCTGTGAACTAGAAAATTAAAAATCTGATGTTTTTAGCTAGTACAACAGTAAACTTGCAGAAGCCCAGTGGTGGTATTCTCAGATCTGCTTTATCTCATGTAAGGCCAGAAAATGGCCATCTTTATCAACATAAGTTAAAGGTAGAAAACACAGTAAGAACCTCAAGGAAGTTTTCTAAAACCTTTGTCTTACTTTTTCTTTTACTATTTAGGTTAGGCCAAAACAAATTCTTAGAACATCAATACTGAGTAAAGACATTCTGAGACATCAGCCAACATGTTCATGAACATGGCTATATACTTTTTTGTAAAAAAAATCAACTTTCAAAGGTCATGGGATAAAGGGATTCAACTACTTGGATTTCTGTTAAACTACATCATTACCTGTTATTTTGCCTGATCTGCTCTTCCTCTCCACTGCAGTAAAAATTCAGTTTAACTCGCAACTCAAAAACCCTAGATATAAAAAATGTTTACATTTACTGTTGAACTTGTAAATTACCATTTATACTAACTGGTTGCTCCATAATATAATCCAAATAATACAATCCAGCAGATTATTTATTGAACTCATTTTAACAACCATAGAACCCTGTTGGTTTTAATATATTGTCTTCCTTTCATAGTTCAGTTAATAGGCAAGTACCAAATCAAAGCTTTAAAAATATTTTAGCTGAATTTGCAAATGGTGTTTTTTTTTCATTATTTATAATTACAATCTGCAGATACACAAACTAAAAAAAAAATGTGATTTTCCTGTTACCTGATAGTTTTCCATGGCTATTTAAAGGCATGCTTACCTCAGCATTAAAACTACATTTTAATGGAAACACCCTTTTGTTGTGACAGCATTTAAAAAAATGAGTTACAATAACCAAATGTATTTCACATTGGTATGTGCCTATTTTAAATTAAGGAAACTACAGCTTGTAAAAGTACCTTTCCTTCATTTTAAAAATTAGATTGCTTTCATGTGTAAACTAAAACATGGTGTTCTATCAGGGATGAACATCGGGATCACCTGTGACATTTGTCAAAAAGAGATGTTCACCTGCACAGGTAAGTCTAGGATAACCCAGATCCAGGACTCCTGCTCTAATCCTAAGTAGTGGGGGTGACTTTTACTGCAATATTTATCCTCTTTCTATTAAGAAACATACCTTCCAATACTCTAATATAAAAATTAAACTTTTACTTAAAATGTAATATTTAACTTTGGTAATCTGCTAACATTACAGTAATATATTTATTATTGGGGGCATCAAGTCATAAACAATGAGCATCATTATCCATTAGAGTGTGAACTGTTACCATTCATAATCAGTAACCACACCATGTCCTGCACAGTAGCAAATATTTCCACAGTGCTTACTGTATGCCAGGAACTCTACTACTAAGCACTTAATATATACTTACTCATTCTTAACCACCTAATAAAACAGGTATTTTCATTCTACAACTGAGAAAATAAGCAAAGAGGAGTTATGCACATAAGGTTAATTGAAGGAGTCAAGACAGCAGTCTGGCTCCATAGTTCTTGCTCTTCTAATATAGTCTTTCTACACTTTATAAAATAGCCACTTGTTATCTGTCATTACTATTAAAATAGAAAATTCTGTTCACTTGTTTTTGGTATATTAGGATTGTTCTGTCCTTGAAATGACCAATAACAAGCAAAAATAAATACTTTAATTGTTCAGTTATTTTCAGAGCTTAAAGGTCCCTCTCCTGACCAAAAAAAAAAAAACTCCATTAAATTTAAAACAGCTTTGTATGACCAAGTATCAGTATTTGCTTTTAGAGTACTGAAAGCTTGTTAGCAGTGGTATTTTACAAGTGGTAACTATGCTTCTCATTAAGCATTTTCTCAAATTTAACATCACCCTGTGGACAGGTACTTTAAGGGTCCTAATTCTTTATTAGTATAGAGACACTATCTTCCTGGCACTGTGACTTTTTAAAGGACCACATCTAGTCCTTTGACAGAGGGGTCAATAATCTGATATCAAAACCTATTTAAAAGGTTTTATATAATATGGTCATCTTTATTTCCCTTCTTCTTACTTCAGAGCCTTCCGGCAATATGAACATGCAGAAAAGAAGACCCATAAGGTTTGAGGAGTCACTGGCCTCAGTACAAGACCTGCCTACACAAACAACAGATTACTACTATCCCAACATACCATGGTCATTTCACCAAAAACCTTTAGTAAAAGGTCACAATTAAGCCAAGTTTCTTCCTAGCAGTTTTAAATCCACTGCAGTCTTTCAAGGATACTATTAGTACATTTTAAGAATGTTAGTGTACTTTTTCCACGCTAAGTGGCCCTTTTTTATTGTAACTTGTATATTGTATTTAACAAATTTTTCAGTTTTTCATTTTATCCTACATGCTTTCCTACCTCACAGTCCTAAAATATAGAAATAAAAACTTATCTCCTGGGTTGGGGGTGAGGAGGGCAAGATGAAAACATCTAACTCATTACCATCCTCTAGAACTTCCAGTTTATCAAAAATCAAAATTCATAAAGCTTGTCTTCCCCTTTGTCAAAAATTTACAAACACTTCTATACACAATACTAGTTTGTGCTTTAAGATCCAATTTCTTATGTCCAAAAGAAGGTATACAAAAGGAATGTATTGAAACAAAACTTATTCAATATTCTCTTTTATATGCAAGTACATTGTAGCTTAATCATTCAATCCTAGCTGCTAAATATGTTAGCCTTCTGTTAACACACCTGGAGATTTTAAAAACATTTTATTTAATAAAAGTTAAACATACAAAAACTGAAATCAACACACACCCTAAAAATCACCATCTCCCATTAATAGGAAGACCCTTCCTTTTCTATGCATGT